GAGCTTTATTCTGATGGAGTAATTGAAGGGATGGTAACTATGACACTCAAGGACAGTTCTCACCCCAGTGCCCAGGGAACCTTAATCTGGGGAGAGAAATTTTATGCGTGTTGCCCTTAAGTTCTTAAAGACACCACCAAGAAGAGAGCTGTGTTTCTTCTGACTGTGAAATGAAAGAATTCGAGCAAAAAGTTCAAGACTCTGACAGAAGAGAGGATGGGAACAGGCGAAGTTCCAGATAATTCCTCACGGTCAACAGGCCACAACATGCAAGGTCATATACAAGTCTGGTTGGAGACAGAGGGATGGGCTTGGTGACTGGAGACATTTGTCACTCTAGGTCTAAGGCCAGATCTACACGTGCAAGATAGGAAGAGCCATAATGGAGACTATCAACCCCACCAGGCACGGATGCCAAGGAAGGAAAGAGGCGGAGAAGCCTTTTATCAGTGGTGCTTGCAGCCAGAGCCACCCCTGGATTCTCAAGTTTCATGAGACTTTCAGGCTTTAGCTAGGGCAGACTGGCTTGCTGACTGTGATTCAGGATTGGGAATAATAGTCTGTACTATTACTATGCCCTTTTCTCCAGTAAGACTGAGGAACATACCCCAAGTCAGCCTGTGAGTAAGTAGAGAGGTAGGAGTCGACTGCCTACCAACGCGTCATGCTCACAACTGGGTGTCAGATCATTGCGTCCAACCAGGACACACTAGCCAGCTGTGCCACCCACTTCCCACTCAAGCTGGGGCAAGCAGGAACAATATAGTTTTCCAGCAGCTGAGAAATGGTGGTGCCACCCAGAAGGAGCCCATTTCTGTGGGGCTAGAATTAGAAAGAATTCGATGTCACTCTTACCTTTTTGAGGCCCAGGGTCTATAGGAGAGAAGCACCAGCAAGCTCCCCTGTACATGAGAGTGAGGATAGAAAGGTGACAGAAACTTCATCTCTTTGCCCAGAGGGCAGTCTTGGTTTGAAAAGGACCTACTACCCCAGGCACTGCCAAATGTGGGTGGCTGCCTTCTAAATTCCCTGCATCTGCAGCCATTAAAGAAGTTACCTCAAAAGAAGCTAGGAGTTTATTAATCCGTTTTATGGAAGAGAGTCAGCCAGATCGCATTATACCAAGACAGATTATGCAGGCAACTGAGAGATCCAGAAAACATCTGCTAAACAAAATCAGAATTAATGGTAAACAGAACGCAATTCTTGATAGCTGAAGTTCACCCAGATGCAGAGAACTATAAAGGGGCTATTAGAGGCAGCTGCCAATTAAGGGCTAATTCCAAAGGTTTTCAGAAAGGGAGGGTCTAGTCACACAGCAGGGGAAGGGGGGGTGTGGTGCAGGCAGGTCATGTTTATTTAGGAGATTTGCATTGCTAAGGAGTCAGAGCCACCATGGGGGTGTGACAGTCACTCCCTCTCTCAGTCTTCTTCCTTCCGGGAAGACAGTGCATCCCTGCTCTCAGGTCTCCCTCACATCCTGCCAGAAGCCAGGTCAGGCTGGCCTGGACGAGAACCTGTGAGAGAACCATCCCTGGGAGGCTGAATCACGCAATAGGACATTGGTACCCACCCCAAAACTCACAGCCTCTAATCATAACGCAGTCGCAGACATCTGGAATGGTGTCTAGATCACTGCATGTTCCAAAGAGATGGCTGACAAGGGCTGAATTATCCTGGCCGGTAGGCTCAGCTCACTCAAGTGTTCTCTCAGGGCTGTAATTCAATGTGATGGAATCAGTTGGAGAAAAGTGCTGGTCTGAGCAAATGAATTCTGGCAGTCACAATCAGCACCAGCCCTCAGAGTGGACACGGGAGTGTCTCAGAGAGGTGAGGTTGGCACCTTTGGCTGAAGCCTTAGAAAAAGTTGAAATTAAATTGAAGGTGTCTGGAGGGAGGTAAAAATACGCGTGCAAAGGAAAGGAGATGAAGATGCAACCATCTGTCCTTCCCCAGGCAGCTAGCACAGGTGGCTCCCAGGGCTCAAGGACTGAAGGAAGAAGGGCTTGGTGGCTGGGGCGGGCATGTGTCCTTCTCAGAAGACATCCTACCAGTCCTGCAGTCCTGCCACACTCACTGGTATGACATATTTCCCTCCAGGTTCCCCTGAGAGCCCCAGCCCTAGTGTAACTTGTCATCAAACAACCCCTAGATAGTTTGCTTCCAAGAGTCCCTCTTAGCTCTCTACCCTTGGCAGTGGGCATGAACGGGCAGAAGAATATACACAAGAGAGGATCAGGGCATGAAAGGGACATTGGTCCAGAGGGAATTCTTGTTCCTACAAATTAGCATGGAAAGGAAGGAAGATGCTCTCCTCTTGTCATGTGTTGCTAAGGGTAAATGCTCTCTGCAAACTTGAGAACTGAGAAGTTATTCTCATTATCACCACGTTACCATCCTGTCCATGCAAAGCCCATGGAAGTTACTGGACCCACATTATAGGCTCATCCTGGGCATTGAGGACACACTCCCTCTGCCTGAACTCCCTGGAGCAGGCCTTGCAAAGGATCCTGCATGGAAGGCCAGCCCCGAGACAATTGAATACATAAGATTAAGACACCATATGAAACTAAATTTGGGAAATGCAGCATATCACACCCCCTTTTGGGAGTCAGACTTAGCATCTTAAAGGTCGAAGAGGTTCTGCAGTACAAGTCTCAACAACTAACTCTATACTGAGTCCAGCACTGGCCAAGTGGATTATTTTCCTAGGGCTGCAACTATAAAGCCCACAAACTCCAACCCCACTGTGGTCTATCCCAGACTCCATTCCCACCAAATTGAGTCCCTCTCACTTCTCACTTCACAGACTTAGTCAACACTTCCCAAAAGTCATGTAGGATGAGCTTGTGGCTGGTCATTGTTTGTGCCACTGAACCTGAGACGGAGAAGATACTCCTCAGTCAGATGTAGTCTGAAAACAAAAAATGGGAAGACATCTTGGATTGTGTGACCAGGAGGCTTCCTCCTCCAGACCTTGCCAAACTCTCCTGGGCCTGATAAACTGGGCAGAAAAATTCAGTGTTACTTATTTGCTCCTCTTTCCTTTCCAACTGCAAAATAACCCTAAGTGTTTGTTGAGAGACAATAATGTCTTATTTTCATCTGTAGGAATAATTGTTTATTGGAATATTTAGAGCATTTCTATAATTTTTATACTTGTACACTCTTCTGGAGAAGAAAAACCATCCCACCACTCAAGCAAGTGAATCCTCAGGCCTGAAAATACTTGGAACCAACCTGCAGGGTCCCACTCCTTCTTTCCTTCCTGCCACGTTATAAGCACTGACATTAAGGCACTAAGCTATTTCAGGAACTCTCCAACACTCAACTTTGACAGAAACAAGCAAGAAAGACATGAGTTCACAATGGGGGGAAAAAAAAGTTTATGTGCTGTCAGGACAAATTTGCTGGTACAAACTCGAAGCATATACTCCCAGTCAGCCAGCTGTGAGAGCTGCTAATTCCAAAGACGAGAAGGTTATGGATGAGTAGAGCACAAGTCAAACACACCTATGCTCATCCTCCAACGGTGTCAGTTTTCAGTGGACTTGGAGCCAGAGGTCCAATCCAGCCTTTTAAGGCCTCTGAGCAAATATACACATGATTCTCTCATACCCCAGCCTTAGTATTTAGAGACCTTTCTAACACAAGGAAAGTAAGATTCCAGAATAGTTAGGTTGATATGTGATTCCATAATGCAAATTAATTCCCAACATTCATACTCAGGGCTACTGACATGAATTAAATAATACTCAAAACCAAATTTCATGCCAACTTTTCTGCTCAAGGCTATTTCTTTCCCATTTACACGGTCATCAATAAGAAACATGGCCTCCTGGCTCCACCATATCCACCCAATTTCATTTGGTTTTGAGATCGACACAATGCAGCTTACCCTACAGATGCAGTTCACAGGACGCCGAGACCAAATCCAGAGACCATGGCAAATGGGAATGGAAGCCACAAAGTTTAGCCCAGAGCCAGATTACCCAGCTCCTTTGAACCCAGGGTTCAAGCCCCATGGGTAGCAGCAAACAACCAGGTGGACTAGTTTACCAATACACTGAGTATGCAAGGCTTGGGTCTCTCAGCTCTAGAAACATAATTTGATAACATGGCCATTCTAGGTCTTTCACTGTGGGGCTTAAAAGAAGAACTAATCAGGAACCAAGGACATATTACATTTAGAGGTCTATGTGGAAATTGCTCACACCTTTTAGATCACCACTCTTTCTGGAGACAATGCTACAGAGAAGTTTGTCATTAAGGCTGAAACCAAAGACTCCAGACCAAGAACTCACTTTGATTCCCGACTTCCTCCTCCTAGCCCTGCAATAAAAAGATGATTGGCAAAGATGCCCCACACCATAGAAAATACATCTTATTTGACAGTTGGTATTGCTGAAAGTAAGGGAAACTTCAATTTCTAAGGAAAGGTTTCAGAAATCACCACCCATGCATACTTATGTCAGAGACCAAAAAACAAACGTGTTAGAGGAACCGGCGGTGAAAATGAACATAATGGAATTGTTGCAAAAGGGACATTAATTGGTTATTTCTATTTCAGCTTAGCGAAAGCTGTAAAAATCTAATTACAAATATTTTTCACAGTGGCACCTTCTCCCAGTTATTGAAATACTTCAAATCATAAACCATTTTTTTATTGTTGATGTTGTTTTTGCTGGATGAAACCAAACAATTACTTCAAACTCCACTCAAAAATAAGGCTTCTCTCCAGACCACAGATATGATCATGAAGAAGCCAGGTCCCCAGACCTCCACTTCGGATAGTTGAAGTAGAAGACACAGTTCTCTCAAGCAGCCCTGGATTTCAATTCTTACAGTCCTTCGAGGCAAGTACCAAATAGTACCAGAAAAGGCCACATGAAATCTGAAAGAACAGGCTGCCTACGGTCTGAAGTTCATGTTAGCTTCAACAAACTACTTCCAAAATGTCAGCAATGAGAACGAAATGGGTATGAATGCATTTTCCCTACCTTCTCTTCTTGCGACTTCAAAGCTTCTGGACTCCTGCAAGAAAAGAAAGGCTTTGTGTTTTTGAAGAATAATTCACATGTACAGATACTTGCAAAAATCTCACCTCTGCTAGCCATTTATTCACAAAATGATGAACAATTTCATAAGAACATGACATTCAGCAATGCTGGGTCTACTAAACTCCCAACACACATACACACAGACACACACACACACACACACACACACACACACACACACACCAGTAAAGGTAAACAACTTGTTGTTTGGGGGCTTAATAAAAAAATACATTATTCATCATTTAAGGTTTTTTGTGTTTTTTTTTTTTTTTTTGCCACAGGAGGGCCAGAGGGAAAGGGAGAAAGAGAATCTTAAGCAGGCTTCATGCCTGATAGGGAGCCTATGTCAGGACTCAGTCTCACAATCCTGAGATCATGACCTGATCCGAAATCAAGAGTCAGACACTTCAATGACTGTGCCACCCAGGTGTCCCAATCATTTAGTTTTTAATGAACAGAGACAATTCTCATGGTCTTCTTCCTTATGTGGAATCTGGACTGGTACCAAGTGTGAAGGAAGACCCTGACCCGGGCTGATACCACGTCTTCCACCTAGACTGCAGGTACTATAGGGCTTGGGAAAAACACAAGCAGTTAAGAGTCAGAATGATCTGACCTGCAGTAGATTATGGTTTGTGGGGCCATAATGAAGACCACCATTGCTCCTGAGTGGGTCACTGGCGTGATCTAGCGATTGACTGTCCTCAATTCAATAGTTTCCAAAGGGTGGGATCTTACAATCTGGAGAGCCAGTCCAGACCAGTGGACTAAATTAAGCCTTTGGGTATTTGTTTTTTAAATTCATTTCTGCCTTCCCGCTTGTATAGGGCAATAAGCAAAGTGTTTGAGAAGTTATATAAGCAAAACAGACAGAATTCTTGCATTGAAAACATTCATAGCTGAAAAAAAAGAAAAAAAAAAGAAACATTCTTAGTTGAACAGGAGGCTACAGAACAAATACAAATTACTGAGAAGTAAAGGGGTGGTTTTACCCGAAAAATACCAGTATATTCATATTCAGGTGGATACATAAAGGAAGGGGTTTTTAAAAGAGCCTTTGAAATAGCACTGCAGAATGTGCAGGCTTTCAGACAGGAGTAAGGGAGGGAGGGTTCACCAGGAAGAGAGAAATGCTTAAGAAAAGGCAGGGTAAGGGGAGAGAACAGGGTATGCTCACGAAGCAGGAAGAGACCCAGTGAGAAGTAATAGGAGGGAAAAGCTGGAAACATATGCTGTGGTTTCACAACTAATCAAAAGTACCTACAATTCTTCATCAATAACCAGTTTAGGATACAAAGTCTAATATCAAGAAAAAGTTGAAAATCCATGCTGGAAACCAAAGAAGAGAGAATAAAGTATCTAACAAGCTTGGGCCAACTTCTTGCCATCATGACAAAGAGGACCATTCAGCACCAGCACTTCTGTAGCAAATGGCATGTGTCTTTCACAATATCAGCATTCTTGTCTAGTATCCTTTGGGATCAGGAAGCAGAGGTAATATAAGGGATGAAACTGAGGAGGCACTTGAAAGTGTATCCCCTTTCCTGCCCCAAATTACATTCTCTGACTGCCACTTCTGTAATGAGTCAAAAGCCCAAGTGGAAACCAATGGAAGACACATGCTATAGGCCTACAGCTCATCAGCACAGCACAGTTAGTGAAATGAGCTTCTAGAATGCTGGTTCCTGAAGAGGGACCACTGAGAGCGCTAAGTGTTATGAGAGCTAAGCAAGCTACAAGGCACATCACTGCACAAAGCCAAGCCCACACTGCTCCTCAGCTCTCTGCTACAGGGGCAGGCACCACATCCCTGGAAGTAACCAGTATTTCTGGAACAGGGAAAATTCATAGGCAACTTATATACCTCAAGAAGAAGACTTTAGGGATGTCTTACTGCAACTGTATAAAACTTGTAAATTAAAAAAACTGACATCTCCATTATGTTGTATCTTCTTATCTAACAACATGGTATTTCTCATCATTTGTTCAAGTTTACTTTTATTTCTTCCAAGAGTATTTTATAATTTTCCTGTATGTATTCTGAATATTTCTTTTGTAGATTTTTTGTTATCATAAATAGAATTTCTCTTTCATTATACCTTCTAACTGCTTTTTATTTCTGCGTATGAGTGGTTTTTATATATGGATTTTTAACCAGCCACTTGACTGAATTTCTTTTTTTTTTTTAAGATTTTATTTATTTATTTGACAGACAGAGATCATGAGTAGGCAGAGAGGCAGGCAGAGAGAGAGGAAGGGAAGCAGGCTCCCGCTGAGCAGAGAGCCCGATGCGGTGCTTGATCCCAGGGTCCTGGGATCATGACCTGAGCCGAAGGCAGAGGCTGTAACCCACCGAGCCACCCAGGTGCCCCTTGACTGAATTTCTTATTCCATTGATTCTTTTGGGGTTTCCTTCGATGTATTTATATAATCTTCAAATAGCTATGATTTTATCTCTTTCCTTCCATTTCTTAGGTTTCTCATGTGTTTCTCTTGTCTTATTGCTTCAGCTAATTCCTCTATCTGATGTTAAGTGTTGTGGAAACTTGGCATGCCCATGGGCATACTGGTCTTGTGTCCGACTTTAAGAAGAAAACCTTTAGTGTTTCCTTACTAAGGGAAACAAAATGCTGGCTTTTGGCTTAAGGTATGTCCACCATATTAATGAAATCCATGCACGATTTACTGAGTCTTTCAAATAAATGGATGTTCTAGCTTGTCCTTTTACTTGTTTCTTTACTGACCATTTCCCTCCACTGGAATGTGAGATGGGATGGCACCAATATCTTTTTCATTCTTGCTTCCCCAACGCTATCCTCAACGCTGTAAGAGAGCAGACGTTCAATGCTTGTTAGATGAATAAAAAAATGTGTGTTGAATTTTATCAAATACTTTTCCTGAATTTAAGGAGATTTTCATGATTCTTTTTCTCCTTAGATCTATTAGAATTCTCTTTAGCTCTAATAGAATTCATGGTATTCACCTATCTCTGTATTTCTGGAATAAGCGTTTCTTAATCATGATACACTTATTAAAAAATATTGATGGATTCTACTTGTAATGATTTTAAATATGTTTTTACATTAATATTCATAAATGAGATTGCTCTATTATTTTTAGGCGCCATTTTTTCTCAGATTTAGGAATTAAAATGATACCAGCTTCATATAATGAATTCAGAAGTTTTCCTTTTATTGTGCTCTGAAATAGTTTAAATAAGTGGATTTAACTGATCTTTAAAGGTCTCTTCAACTTCATTTCTCACATATTGATTAAAAGGTGAGGAAATAAAAGGTCAAAGAAGGTTAAACTTGTCCAAGTTCTCACATATTGGTCAGTGGCCAGCTGGGATTTAAATTTCAAAGTCAACACACATAACAAAGTTTATGCAGATCTCTACTTAATTCATGAGTAGTGTGAAATCAGATGAGAGATACTTCTACTTCAGGCTATGAGAGAAGAACTTGCATTAGACGACCAATCCTTTTGCTAAAAACAACTATAAAAGTTTGATTTAAAAAAAATGTTTTTAAAGATTTTATTTATTTATTTGACAGATAACAAGTAGGCGGAGAGGCAGGCAGAGAGAGAGAGGAGGAAGCAGGCTCCCCGCCAAGCAGAGAGCCCGATGTGGGGCTCAATCCTAGGACCCCAGGATCATGATCTGAGCCGAAGGCAGAGGTTTTAACCCACTGAGTCACCCAGGCACCCCCCCAAAAAAATTTTTTTGAAGGCATATCAGAGAAAAAAATGTAGCCAGAACTTAAAGAGACAATATTCAGAGAACAGAAAAGCCCACTGAGGTGCTAATTTTCCCCTTAGGGCATTGGCTGTTTTGCATAGAATTCAAACAAAAAAGTAATGCTCTACCGCTGAAAGAGGTTTCACTGAGTTGAGAGATAACCAGAGTCAGGGCTACCAAAGCAGCTAGAACCTGAGGGTTTCAAACCCTGGAAAAGGAAACCAGAAAGAAGTGTGCCCAATAATTTGCACCCAGCTTCCTCTTGATTTTTGTAAATATGTCTGAGCTCCACATATAAAGGGCAAGAGGATAAGAAATTAGCAAAAAAATTAGTCTCAAATCAGCTGAAAACCTAAGCATAGATTTTGGTACTTATCATGGTGCTAGAGAGACAAAAATTAGGCTTCTCAGGAAAAAGTGGCCCTGGTAAATGCAGATGACTTTCAGTTGAGATCATATACTCTCCAAGAATTTCAATTCCTAGCAGAGCAAGATGATTTGCCAGTATTCTATGTCTAACAAAGAGAAGTAAATCCTCTCTGGAAGATAAAAATATCCACAGGATTTATAATTTTTCCTACATAATGTCTAACACCCAATCCACAATTACTAGGTATGGCAGGAAATGAGATCAAATGACTAATTCCAATTAAAAAAAAAATACAGCAGAGAGAGACCCACACTTTCTCCAGATTTTAGAATTATAAAACACAAGCTCTAGATTATGAGGAATAATTTGTTCAGGAAAATAAAAGACATTAAATTTCATCACAAAATCACAATCCGCTAGAAAGGAATCAAGTGAAAAATCTAGAACTTAAAGTTAAACAAAAAAAATTCAACAGATGGCTTTAACAAAAGATTAAACACAACTAAAGAGAAGAATTGTAAGCTGGAAGCCAGATCAGCAGAAAATACACACACTGACGATCTGAAAGGAGAAAATAAAGAGTGAAAAATAAAGAAAAGAGTATAACAGATATTAGAGGATATGGGGCAAACATCCCACAAGCATGTAATTTAGGTTTCAAAGTGAAAGGATACAGGAAATTAGGCAGAATAAATATTTGAAGAGATGTCAACTGGGGATTTTCTGAAATTTATGGAAAACATCTAGCCAAAGATTTAGCAATCTCTATAAAACCCAAGTAAGACAAACACAAAGAAAACTAATGTGAGGTATTCAAAGAAAAATAGTCGAATATTCAAACACAAAAAGAAAATCACAAAAT